TGGAAACAGCTGCTGTTTTCAACACATCGACCATCTCTTCCTTGGACACCATCATCACATAACCGGGACACCATCACAAAATGACCAGAACACCATCAAAACATGACCGAGACACCGTCACAACACGATTGGGACACCATCACAACATAACCGGGACACCATCACAAGGTGACAGGAACACCATCAAAACATGACCGGGACACCGTCACAACATGAGCGAGACACCATCACAACATGACTGGGACACCGTCACAACATGACTGGGACACAATCACAACATGACCGGGACACCATCACAAGGTGACCGGGACACCAACATGACATGACGGGAAAACCATCACAAGATGACCAGGACACCATCACAACATGACTGGGACACCGTCACATGACCCGGACACCATCAAAACATAACCGGCACACCGCCAAAACATGACCAGGACACCATCACGACACCATCAAAACATGACCGGGACACCATCACAACATGACCGGGACACCATCAAAACATGCCCGGGACACCATCACAACATGACCGGGACACCATCACAACATGACCGGGACACCTTCAAAACATGACCGGGACACCATCACAATATGACCGGGACACCATCAAAACATGACCGGGACACCATCAAAACAGGACCGGGACACCATCACAACATGACTGGGTCACAATCAAAACATGATCGGGACACCATCAAAACATGACCGGGACACCAGCATCACATGACCCGGACGCCATCAAAACATAACCGGGACACCATCCGCCCACCAGCTCTGACGGTGACCCGACGGCGCCCGTCCGCCTATTAGTTTTGCAAGACCCCATAGCATGGCTATTGGGGAACTAGACGACGAGTGGCCCGAAAGCATTTTTCATCACGTAGGAAGTCAGAGTGCGAGTTATCTGTTAAGTGTGCGGTGTGAAGTGTTAAGTCGAGTGAGTTGAGGTAGTGTGTGGGTTTCTCTGTGTGTATCTATGTCCGTGTGTATATGAGTCTGCGTGTGTGTGTGTGTGTGTCCGAGTAAGTTGAGGCAGTGCGTGGGTCTATGTGTGTGATGTGTGTGTGTGTGAGTCCCTGTCTGTGTGTGTATGTCCATGTCTGCTGCTGGTGAAGGTCTTCTCTGTACATATAGTGAACGACTTAGCGCGCAGGCCTCCCAAACCCCCCACCGGCGGCCAAGCGGTGACAGCCCAGCTCATCGTCGTGAGCATTTAGGCTGCTGGTAAGGAGAGAAGCAGCGTGCACGCCTCCAGGAAATCTCACTGAAAAAAGCGAGCTGGAAGGAAGCATACTCAAGTTGTACTACAAAGTCGCCAGTTCTCATCTTCCAGCAACACAGATTGCTCCGCGTACTAAAATTGCACTACCAGATCGCCAGTTCTCATCTTCCAACTCCCCAGACACTCCGCGTACTCAACTTGTACTACCCAGTCGCCAGTTCTCATCTTCCAGCTCCCCGGCTACTCCACGTACTAAAGTTGTACTACCCAGTCATTGTACTACCAAGTCACCAGTTCTCATCTGGCCACTCCCCAGATACTCCGCGTACTAAAGTTGTACTACCAAGTCGCCAGTTCTCATCTTCCAGCTCCCCAGCTGCTCCGCGTACTACAGTTGTACTACACAGTCGCCAGTGCCCATCTTCCAGCTCCACAGATACTCCGCGTACTCAAGTTGTACTACCCACTCACCAGTTCTCATCTTCCCACTCCCCAGCTACTCCGCGTACTAACGTTGCACTACCAAGTCACCAGTTCTCATCTTCCGGCTCCCCAGCTACGGCGTACTAAAGTTATACTACAACGTCGCCAGTTCTCAGCTTCCAGCTCCACAGCTACTCCGCGTACGACCATTGTACTGCACAGTCGCCAGTTCTCAGCTTCCAGCTCCACAGATTGCTCCGCGTACTAAAGTTGTACTACAAAGTCGCCAGTTCTCAGCTTCCAGCTCCCCAGCTACTCCGCGTACTACAGTTGTACTACCAAGTCGCCAGTGCTCATCTTCCAGCTCCCCAGCTACTCCGCGTACTACAGTTGTACTACAACGTCGCCAGTGCTCATCTTCCCACTCCCCAGCTACTCCGCGTACTCAAGTTGTACTACCCACTCGCCAGTTCTCATCTTCCCACTCCCCAGCTACTCCGCGTACTCAAGTTGTCCTACCAAGTCGCCAGTTCTCAGCTTCCAGCTCCCCAGCTACTCCGCGTACTGAAGTTGCGCCACGAAGTCGCCAGTTCTCAGCTTCCAGCTCCACAGCTTGCTCCGCTGCTAGACCTATCGCACTCTGGCCTGCGTTTCGCGCACTCCACACGCACGATCTCCGCAGAGGGTTGCGCGGTAATTTCACAAATCGCGCTCTCGCCTGCATTTCGCGTACTCGACACGCACGATCTCCGCAGAGGGTCGCGCGGTAATTTCACACATCGCGCTCTCGCCTGCATTTCGCGCACTCGACACGCACGATCTCCGCAGAGG